GTAAGAGTGGTGGTGAAAATCCCTTTGTCCAGGGTTGGACACACACACACACACACGAGCGCACAATTACGTGTTTGGTCCTTGCAAATTAGCCCTCCAAAAGATTGAAAGAATTCGTGGCCCAACATTTTGGTCTAGTGCATACCATGAAGGCTGAGGGCTGTGCATGTGTAAACTACTGACACGTTTGATCCCGAAATCTCCAGTTCAGACGTCAGTTCCAACCTTTTTGTGGCATGTCATGTCCTACTGTTAACAGTAGGATAGGTCAGCGAAGCTGTTTTTGGGGGGCCATTCGGGGGTACCAAAAACCTGGACACAATCGCACGTCAAGGACCTCGTGGCCCATGTCCACCCATGGCCAGCATGACGGTCTTGTTTTTGCTTCCTGCCAGAAAGACACAGACTATTAAACACATGCAGGAATAAACAGGAGACACGCAGTCTTTTAGTCATCAACATTGAGTCTCCAGATCATATTGCGTTATACTTTTGACAATTTTTGATCATCCTCCAATCCTTTTTAAAGCATATTAAAGCCTATAGCCACTATTGTGATATTATTGATATATGGCTTTAAACAGATTCGATCACTCCCAAGAGTCACCCACCTAGCAGTGCCGCCTTACCTCACAGCCTCTTCCACCGGTGACATGGCACCGCCCTCAGGACTCTACCTCACGGGTCCCTTCAATAACTTCATCCTGCGCCTTGGAAGACCGTCAGGCAGTGCTGCGGAACTGCTTGTTGGACAATTTGTTTCTAACGACCAAAGCCCCACTATTGTCATAATATGTTGTGCATGACAATGCTTGAAGTGGAGTTCCTTTCCACATGATTCGTCCGTCAACAGATGGCATGTTGATTCAAACCGCGTTTGACCGCAGTAAATCCTGCACCCTTGCGGATCTCTTCACGAAGATTCTGACCAACACTGGGAGGACACTGATACCCACTGAACAGCCCTTCTTCCAGGTTGAACACCTTTATTTGTTGGCCAGTTGGGTACAGAATCAGGTGTACCCTGGTTTGCAGAATGTCTTAAGTGATTTAACGTGAGATCTTTCAAGCAATGGGGGATCCAACAACTCGATCCCCTGATCAGAATCGACCCCAATTGATCTGCTGGTGATTTCTTCCCTTCAACCTAGGACTGGCAGGAAAGAATGGTTGACCTGCGGAGGTCACCTTTGGGAGCGGTTTTCCAAGCATGCTCTATGTTAACTGAGGAGGTCAGTTCATCCATGATTCAAGGATTGAAGTGAAAGTGATTGAAGGTGGGTTGTCCCTGCAATGCCCGTGGACGATTGTCCCCCTGCAATGTGCTGAACTTTAAAGATGGTGCAGGTGGAACGTTGGGAGGTGTTTGTTTGAATTGGGACGATCTGGGATGGGGGATATAAGCTTTGGCCCTCCTGTGAGTGTTTGATTAGTGCATGAATGGGAGTGTAAGAGCATGTGGTTTTGTTGCAAATCCTTTTGGTAGTCAAATAGGGTTGTAGAGTACCGCCAGTTAACATGTCCTGCGAACACATTGCGGGCAAAAAAACATGCCCTCAGGAAATACAAATCTTTGGACCTTGGGCTCATGTCCTGCGGCAAGGCAAGAACACCCTTGTAAGGTAGACTGTTGATGAATAAACTCCCCGTACCAGAATGGTTTTACATCTTCATGTGTGGGGTTTTAGGAATCATTAGTTTGTGCAATATACTGACTATATGCATTGGAGGTCGAATACCCAAATACCCACCCTCCAACAATCCTTGTAACGGACAATGGCTTGGAAGACACAATTCCTATACCACCAGGATCTATATGTTTCAGATATTTTTTTGAACGGTTTCCCAAAGAAGCCATGCATGACTATTTCAAGAGTCCACGCCCAGAGCACCAGTGGTCGTGTTCTGCCGCACCCCAAACCTGGGGTCTTCGGCTCTGGGATGAACCTCCAAGGTTTCCCTCCGATGCCCGAGATCTCAGCGAACGGATGGGGGGGTTCATTAACCAGTTGTCCGGGCGTTTTGGGTGGTAGGGCCAGGCTGCACAGGGTGCACAGGGCGACGGAATCTCCTTAAGAAAGCTGGTGGGTTTGGGGTTGAGGTTGTGAGTAGAATCATGTATTTAGGTTCATGTATATTGATATATATATATATATACACATATATATATATGTATATATAGAGAGAGATCGATCGTATATAGTTTCTGTGTGGATCATGTGTGGTCCAACTTGTTTTTGTTTGGCACTTATTGGACATGTACTATCTTCGCTGCAAAGGCAACACACGAATCTAACACTTGTTGTTTTCTTGGCCACATGTAGTTCTCAGTGATCGATCCAATATGATTCAATCAGGAATTCTGAATATGTCGTCATCAATGTTGAATCCATGTCAAGTCATTCGAGGCCCAGGCTCATTCTTGCCATGAGTTGGGAACTTATCAAAGTATGTTCCTTCCCACAAAGACGTCAACACTTTGGCGGGTTTGCATCCCAGATCTTGCACAGAAAGCTCCGTTCGTTTGGGTGAACATCACGCAAGCTCTTCAATTTCGTGGGTGCGGCCACAGAGCCAGCTTGGAACCATAACGAACCATTCATTTCCAGGTCAAACAGCGAGAACTGGAAAGTCTCAACTCCTCTCACCACTGGTCGAGGCTGGAGAATCCAAAATCTGGCATGAAATTGCCCGAAAACAAAAAGCTTGTGGATACCGATGAAGCATGGACAATCGACCCTATCATCGCAGTTGAGCAGCCTCTCCAGATTTGGCCCGAGGAGACAGCCGTCCAGGGCTGCATAAACTCACAATGAAAAGGGTGCGCCGTACGCTTCGGAGCACAGCAAACGCCAAAGTTGCAGCTCCACTTGGCTCTCCGGTTTATTTATGTCAGGTAGAACGCTGTGATCGATGCGGGCCAGATGAAGAACCCATACAACTCTCGAGTAGCTGGTAGGACAGAGTTCGTATATTCGTGCCACCCAGAATCTAGGGAAATGAATTGAATCATTTTGGATCCAGGTACTGTTTGTCCAAACCAACCACTCAAAGGATACCTAGCCGATCCTAACCGTCAAGCATGTTCATGAAATATTTTCATTTGCCACACCACTTAGATGGAGCTGGTTACGTAGCTCTAGTGATCTCTAGGTTGATGTACGACAGGTCTCCATCAGACCCTCTGGATCCAACGACATCCTCACGGCATGCGGTTCGTGGCTCTACCACTCGTCTACTGCTTGTCACTAGTTTTGACCTTCATCATAGTTCATGAGATTTCATATTAAGTGTGTGGGTTGGGGGACCTCCCTACTATTCCATTACACACCGAATGAGAAAAGAAACCTATGAGCAGAGCACCAGAGCACCACACCCGGACACTTAGCACCTCCAATTCCGCTAAGTCGCCACGGCGCCACGTCGCCCGAGGTGCGCCACATCGAGTTCAGCAACATCGACCGGATCAAAGCCGCAGGGCTCCGGTCGCTCGGATCCACCCGGCTCCGGTCGCTCGGGAACGGATCGCCTGCGTTTCGCTCTGCACCCGTGCGTCGGCCACGGCCGAAAGCGTGTTTGCCGTTGAACGATCTGCCGGAACGGCCGGAAGCGTTCTGCACCTTCGAAAGAGGCGTTTTCCTTTTTTTTGAACGGAGGATTGACATGCTGAGGAATTTTGTTGTGTTTTTTGTGCGGCTGTTTTCGTCCGCTTCGGAAGACATCGTATGTCTGGTTTAAGGATTCCAATGCCACTGTAAGATGGTGAAGCCTCTTCGAAACACTCTGATTGTTTGTTGGGGGGGTTTCTTTTTGTGCCCTGGTAAAAGTTGATCATTTTGTTACTTTTGGGGGGGATTGATTGATTGGGGACCCCCACGAGAATCCAACATGTGGAAAAAGGTTGATTTTCCAGGGAAACTGAGGGGTCATTATGGATATTAATGGATATGGCTATTATGGTTAATTGGATACTATGTAATGGAATCTAATTGATATTCGGGATCAAGGTGATTGAAACCTTTCATTTATTGAAGCTTACTGTTCAGCGCTTGCATTTGAATTTGAGAAGCAGAGTGGGATTTTCAACAGTTTCATTGGCGTCATAATCTGTGGGGCTGGAGATGGTGTCACACATCGTTACTCACCCTAAATCAAAATGTCCTCTTGGGTAGCGCATGATAGCAACTGTTTTAATCTTAGCCAAAAGACATTATAATATATATATATGTGTATGTATATAATATATACTGTATATATTAGGTTGATGGATGTTGATGGCTATGTCAAGTCTTTACAGTATGACAGTATCGTACAATTCCATGGAATGCTCCCGGCCAAATCGCAGCTCCCAGGTATGCACCACTCCACACACGGACGAAAGAGGGATTAGGACTTCACTTGCAGGCGTGGAGTCGCTTGGAGTGTGGACGAAACGCATGCGGAAACGTCTCAGACTGAGCCGGACGTGTTTGGGATCGGTAAATTGACAAACTTAGGAATAAGGGTCGCAATATAGGCCAAAATCAGCGACTCCCTGAAAAACTGAAACGGAGTCATAGCCGCTTGACTGATTCATTTAAGTGACTGGTGCACGAAAGCAAGTACTCTGACGTATACATAGCAACTGGATGAACACCTACACGTGGCGATTTGTAAGTTGAACCTGCGGTGTGAACTTAATCATACTTAATGGGTCCCTCATGCCGTGCTCAGGTGGAATGTTGTCCATCAATAGTACATCGTTATGGACTGCAAAGAAAAATCGGCAATGGTTTGTTAAGGCAAAATAGTTGTCCACGGGCACATGTTCAGAGTCGCTTTGGAGGAGTTGATGGGATTTTCTCCACTGATGATGCATGGTTGACTGTGCCTTGATGGGTGCAAGAGCTGGGCAGAGACGAGTTCGGCGACAGGGGGTGTATCCTCGGACCGTCCAGGACAAGTGAACGCCTTCTTTTTTTTCTCAACATGCAGGAAAGTTTACCCTTCCTCAAACAATCATGAACGCTGAGCAGCACCCCCTGTCGAGGAAGATTGGTCTTCCAAGGCCATGCCATCCACGTAACCATGGTTCTTTCAGGGAGTGAAGCTTTAATGTCCTTTTTTGTGTCCTCCTTCGATCTTGTACCTCTGCAATTCCTGAAGTACCATGCCCTCCCAAATTCTTTCCGTCATGAGTCGTGGAAGTGTAAGATCTTCTGGAAAGTCCAGGTGTCCTTGCAGTACCGGTTGATCCCCCAGAACTTGTCCGCGCTCTACAGCGAGTTCAACCAGAACTACGAGCAGGCCCTGCTACTGGTCGGGGTGGGAGAAAGAAGGCGGGATGATCGGGGTGCTCCCGTCGGGGTTCTATGAGTTCCGAAGGGTCGCATTGGAACATAGTATATGATATATAATGTGTCTTCATTACTATATATATATATTATGTTATATATATATATATGTGTCTTCAGTGCGCTTTATGTCGTCACCAACTTCACAAGGCGAGGCAATTTCTCCAACACCCAACCATCTGGAGCAAAGCGACCTAAATTCCACTGCCCAAGGAATCATACAACCACCTGGAAGCAAATATTCAACCCGTCCCGCTCCACCACCAATGCAAGTATGTCATTTCATGTGAAACCCTCCACCCAACCAGCAATATGACATCAATACAATTCAATATACCTCCCCACTCCCAACCACCCAATACGCCAATATAACTCAAACCATTCACCCAACCACCCAACGCAACCACTAGCCCCTCTCGGCCTCCGCCTCCGTCGCCCCACCTGGCTCCACCCAAGGTCCACCGTCACCACCTCCGCCGTCGCGACGTCCAGGTCTTCGTGAGCTCCGTGCGGGACGTCCTCATCAAGGCGGCCTCCGAGTACGAGGCCCCTCAACGGCCGCGACAGTTGTTTTTGGTGATAAGAAATCCACATGTTATCCAATTTTGTCGATAGAGTCTAGAATATGTCTTGATCCCAAGTGTTTGAACAAGACATCTGAGGCCAGGTAGACTCTAACGTTGGGTTTCTTAAGCTATAGGGGGTTTGTTCAGGAGAGGGCGATCCTTTGAATGAGGGGTCTTAGCTCTGTTTCAAACCTGTTTTCGAACAGTTTCAATCCCTTTATGGAGCCTGTTTTCTATAGCAGAAACAAACAGCCATAGAACGCTTCGCAGAAATTGCACGTGGTGAAGGATTCGGATCTCATGACATAAGGGCTCTGATGGGTGATTGGGCAGGGTGTGAAGCAGCGTGGTCACGTGTTCTTGACACGGATAGATAGGTGCAGCCTGTCAACTTGGAAGTTGAAGTGTAGATTTGACAAAATAAGATCGGTGAAGGGAGCGTTTAGATTGGATCACGCACCACTGCTGGCGAAGCTATCTTGCTCAAGACTCAAGACGTTTAGGGTCGTCTGCCGGTTTCCTGTTGTGATCTGTTGCGACTCTATCTATCATGGAGCGGTTCGTGGCAGCCAGGTGTGACGCCACCAACTACATGCGTTGGGGCGTGGCGCCAAGGGTTTCCACGCAGCGAGCTCTGAAATGGGAGAACACTATGGAAGGGTTTTGAATGGTTTTGAAATGCTTGTTTGTCATTTGTCAAGTGAAGAATCAAGCTTCCACACATTCTCTTGTCGCTTTTCACGCGCCCAATATAGGTCTCCAGCGAGGAGGACATCGCCCTGCTCGCAGCCGTCCCGGACGGCTTCGAATGGGCGGGAGGCTGTCAGCAAGGAGTTGGAATTCTGGATCCCGGAGCTGGTCATTGGCGAGGTGATCCACCAGTGGCCTGAGTGGGCGGTGCTCACCTCGTCGCTGGCAACGGCGTGGCGGCGCCGAGGGAGACCGCTCAAGTTTGTTCGGAAGTCTTCGTGCTTCCAAAAGCTGCGGCGCCGGCGGTGAGCGCGGTGTAGGTAGGAGGTATTTAAATTATCCCGCCAAGAGCGTGGGAGCGAAGGTGGGCGAGTGAGTCAGTGTGAGTGAGAGTGAAGGTGGGTGAGTGAGTGCGGGTGAGTGAGAGTGAGTGTGAGTGAGAGTGGGAGAGTGAGAGTGGGAGAGTGAGTGAGGGTAGAGTGAGTGAGTGTGAGAGTGAGTGTGAGTGAGAATGAGTGTGGATGAAAGTGAGTGTGAGGGAGGGTGAGTGAGTGCGAGTGTGAGAGTGGGTGTGAGTGTGAATGTGAATGCGAATGTGAGTGAGTGTGAATGTGAGTGAGTGTGAGTGTGAGCATGTGTGAGTGAGTGAGTGAGTGAGGGAGGGAGTGAGTGACTGACTGACTGAGTGAGTGAGTGAGTGAGTGAGTGAGAGTGAGAGTGAGCATCTGAGAGCACAAAGTGCTAAATCTGCACATCACATCAAGCTTCACAAAGCGCTGAACCTGCCACGAAATCTGCGCATCGAGGTTCACACAGTGCTGCGAGGTTCACAAAGTGCTGTGCCTGCCACGAATTCTGCACTTCGAGGTTCACAGAGTGCTGTGCCCACGAACTCTGCGCATCGAGGTTCTCAAAATGCTGCACACGCCACGAAATCTGCGCATCGAGGTTCACCAAGCGCTGTGCCTGCCACGAAGAAATCTGCACTTTGGGGTTCACCAGTGCTGCCCCTGCCACGAAGTCTGCACTTCGAGGTTCACCAAGCGCTGTGCCTGCCACGAAATGCGCACGTCGAGGATCACGAAGTGCTGCACCTGTCACGAAATCTGCGCTTCGAGGTTCACCAAGTGCTGTCCCTGCCACGAAATCTGCGCGTCGAGGTTCGCCAAGTGCTGCGCCTGCCACGAAATCTGCACTGCGAGCTATAGTATAGGTTCACCAAGCGCTGCACCTGCCACGAAATCTGCACTTCCTGCGCCTGCCACGAAATCTGCGCATCAAGAGTCACAGAGTGCTGTGCCTGCCACGAAATCTGCAAACGACTCACATATCCAAAAGTCACGATTCACTGCACCTGTCACGAAATCTGAGCTCCTCGACGAATGCATGATCATGACCAAAGTGCTGCACTTGCCACGAAAACTGCATTTCGAAGTAAAACAGCTCCGATCCCTTGCACCTGTCACGAAAAGTCGACTTTGGACCACCAAAACACGAGGATTCCCTTGCACCTGCCACGAAAAGTGACCACCATTTACCAAAATGCGCGCGGCCACAACGAGAGCGCAGTCGCGACAGGCACACGCTCCAGCTACCCAGACAGATTCTGCGAGCCTGCGCAGTCGAAGTGCACATTGACGATGTCGAGAGGCATGAATGTACTGTAAATAGCAACGAATTAGCCGTTCACTCCCGCACGCTTCAGCGATTTAAGCATCGCTTTTCTACAACTGTAAGAGAACCCCTCAGTGCGCCCACACTGTCAGCCGGCGAATAAAAACAACGACGGGAAGGGCAAACCCAAGAAGCCCCTCGCTTGTCCTCCTGGGTGATCCATAAACCCCGAGACCGGCGAAAGGCAAGCGTGCGGGGACAAAGATCCCCCCCGGGAAAGGGCTGCGCAGACTTCGGAACGCATCCGTATAAAAGGCTCGGAACTCGGCGTGCTGATTCATTTTCTAGATCGTTATGCTCACATGTCTCCGAGAGCTTTGTTGCAAGATCATGTGTGTGTGTTTTTGTGGTGGGTCCTTTTCGCTGCATTGCACTTTGAATTGCCTTCTGGTGAACAGTGAATAGGAGATGGTCGAACTTCTCGCAGCAAATCCTCCCAAGTGAGCTAGAAAGCCCTCACGCCCACCTCTTGCAACTGAGACTGAGGCCGGGCTTTGAAAATAGCAGTAAAGCTGTTGGACGGTCAAGCTGCGCAGCCAAACTGTTAACTACCGACAAAATAAGGAGATGCCTGCAGTGCAGCACGAGTATGCCGACAGTCACTTTGGATGCTGAGGCTGTGGCCCCTCAGCCGCAACGCGTGAACGGGAAGAGAGAGAAGCAGAAAGGGCTGAGACACAGAGAGAGAGAGAGAGAGAGAGCGCACGTTGTATCAGGCATCAGCTAAAAAGATAAAATCTCATCCTTTTTGGAGGTGATAGTTGTGTACCTCTTGGCGCCCAACCCACGAGAACTGACACAACCTGCTCTTTTGCGAGGCCGGGGTTGAAGTTATGCGCGCAAACCGCAAACTGCAGGGAAGCAACGTTGACGTAGCGCCTGTCAGGTCATCTCTGCCGAAGATGAATCTGAGGAAGTGTCTGAGTATTATGAGGAGTGGGAGGAGGCTGGAAGCAAGCTCACATTTTCTGCGTCTTTTTCATCCATGCCGGCGACAGCAGCAGCAGGAACAGGAAGGAAGAGGAAGAGGAGAAGGAATAAGAGCAAGTACGGCTACGTACAGCTTGGTAGTAATCAATTTATCTTATACGGTCTTGTTCCGCCTTATTATTTCCTTTTTCCGAAAATAGAGTCTAAGGTAATTTGCCCTTCCTCAAAACTAGAGTCTAATTTCTTCTTCTATAAAACTTCTTGACACAGTCCCCGACCATGATTCAACCCAGCAGACTCGCATCCAAAAGCGCAAACATGACTGATGATCCTTTTGTATATAATCACCCGACTTACAGTACCCGTGCAACTTCTACATTACCCGTGTAACACCAACGACTAAAGGTTCTAAGTAGTTCTCTGCCAAGGTTGGGATTTCGAGCCAAAAGGTTCTGAGTTACACGTGGGGTCTATGTGTGTGCAGTTGTTCATTTTGATTTGGGCTTTTGGGTTCTAGGTAAGTGTCCGGCAGTATAAATTCGAAGGAACATCTTGCTAGTTCGTATAACATTTCGTCACAAACTCAATCTACAGAAATCGATTGTTCCCCAAACAGTGAGGAGGCAAGATGCGATTGGATCAGCCATGAGAGTCGCTCAGAAGCAGATTCGAGGTCAAAGTTTCCCGTGCCAGGCAGCACAGCTTTGGGAAGAGCGGGACCTCTTTTCGCAAAAGATGTGCCTGGCCCAGACGCTTACCGTGATCGATGGGCGCCGAACGGTTTGACCATCCACCGAGGTTCAAAGACCCAAACTGAGCATGTGTGTGGCAATAGGGCCCCTTCGGGGAGCTCATGTATACGTACAAGATGAGAAAAGGACGGAAGCAAAGACGAGTCCATTCGATTTTCCAAGGGTTGTGGCCCTTGTGGCATTTCCATCACAAAGAGATTCCCAAGGATTGCAAACATCGAAATCCTGGTCCTTGTATGATAAACACATTGCTAGATCAAAGCCATCATCCCCAAAAGGCGCAGCCAATACACAGTCTTTGGGGCGCTTTCCTGGGCTGCTCCCATTGGCTGCTCCCCGGTACTTTTCATGGGTTAGACATGCATCCTGCAATACGATAGAGAACGCACAAAAACCCTCACAAACCAAGGTGTGTGTGTATGTGCGCGAGTGTGATACTTTGATCTCCTCCAATGGTTCAATTCTGAAGTTGTGCCAGACTTTGAACCCGTCCACAGTCGGACATCGTCACCCTGTGGAAAACCCGAACAAGACTTTAAAACATCTCCGATCTTGGTCTGGCGGCGTTTCCTCGAGTTTTCCACCAGGTGGTGTTGCAAAGGGTGCTCCGGTGTGGACCAAATCTGCCTCAAACACCACCAACCTGGGACTGGCATTTTGACCGATCCATTGGAGTGGTTGATTTCAGGGGTCAATGTAAGTATAGTTCTATACATATATGATTCATGATCATATACCAGGACCCCCTAAGCGGTGGTTAATAGATACCCCTGAACCATGCTGAACCTCTATTATTAGGCACCGCTTAGGGGGCACTGGTATATAATACATGCAGTGTTCGGGATAGGGTTTGACCCCCTTCCCAACTCAACGTATCACTCAAGTTGATTTGGTGAGATCTGAGTGCGCAAAGTCAAAGGAGCGGGAGACATTCATCGAACTGGAACTGGGAGGCCCCTGGAAGACCATGTTTCTCTACAAGCAGGTGGTAAACTCCACTTCCATGTCAATGACTTGGAGAGCAATCGCAACCACAACTATCCTAAAGAAAGGTTTCTCGATGTTTGGTTAAGACATGTCAGGACCTGGTGGGATATCGACCCAGAGACATTCAGAGACATGTAGAATCACACAGTACGGTACATCATTCACTCCTTCAAAGCGAGTTCCTTGTGCGAATTCCTTTCAGTTCCAAACATCACTCAGGCAGCAAATGGTTGACTCAGAGCTCAGGCAGCAAATGGTTTGGAGTCGATTTCTCAAGTTTGGTGGGTGCAAAACTTGAGCAAAGCCATGAAATTCTGGATGGTGATGAAATCTTCCTGCGTCCCCCACGCCAAGCGGTGCAGGATCGTTTCTGCATCAACAAGACGCTGCAGTAACATACTGCATGTGAACAACCTACTGTAGCACGGCCCAGCATGGCTGTATTTATTCTTAGAAAGTTCCGATAGCATTGATTGGCCAGAAACTGGCTGATTTGGGGGGGGGCAACTCTTAAGAGAGTGTTCATCCAATTTCAACCCTCAGCATTCACAGATCGGCAGAGGGCTCTATTCATTTGTTCAGTCCACATGATTCCGACCTTTGGAGATCACCGATCCACCGGAGAAGACCGTTCCTTCGCTCGGAGTTCACGGAGTAGCCGGTGCTTTGAGCCAAGGGTCACAGATCAAACGATGGAATACAGCTAGTCTAGTTGACCGCTTTTCGGGCTTCGCAAAGAGAATCGGATAGAATCGGATAGATGTTCCTTTTTGTTGTTTTTGTTTTTTGTAATGTGTCTTTTCTTTGAGATCAGCTTGTTTTCTTCGATCATGTTTCGGATTGATCCGTTTGTTTCGCGAAACGTCTTTCCTCAGATCCCCCCGGACCGAAGGGGTTTGCACCCCCGCAGGAAGACCTACGCTGAGTGCTGGGGCCTGTCAGGTGTCCCAGTTCCAGGACCGGTCGAGCAGATGAGCTTCATAAGCTACGTTTGGGGTGTAGAACTGTATGGTTTCAGGGGTCAATATGCTATATACTAGGTAGTAGGTAATATATATTTATGCTTTCAGGGGTCAATATAGGTGAATATATTGTAAACTTTGCTAGTATTTTTCCAGTACATGGAGTGTTTGGACGTTGTCTCGTCCTTGATCGACTTTCATGTTATGTCCGGGAATTCAAAGTTTCCTTGACACTGAAAAATCATAGGGGACTTGCTACTGAAATACGAAACCAATAAACTTCTACATAAACACACTATTAACATCCATTGACGCCCAAGGTTGGTGTTGGACCCTTAGTCTTTAGATCAATCATTGGTGTGAAACCACAAACTCTTGGATGCACCAGAACTGCAGATTATTTTGGTCTGAACAGACTGGCCAAATGACACACGCCACATCCGGCCACCGAGACAGTGCCGTCCCATCCGGACACCTACTCGGTGATCCAAGACGGAGGGATTAAAGAAAAAGTGATCCAAGTCCAAGACACGAAAAACAAAAATTGAGCAGCACTGTAGATTGAGTGATTTTTGGATGCCAAGAGGTTGTTCAACACTCAATTGAAGCTCTTGAAGTTCCCACTGGGAGCTGAGCTGCAAAAAAAGCGTTGTGGCTCCCAAAGATCTCAAGGCTTGCTGGTCCAGAAGCAAACTGGGACAACATGGAAGAATTGGAAGACTGCACTACACTCACAAAATATACAAACATACATCTAAAATATAATATTATATAATCACATATATATACACATACACATCTGGGTTATATGGTTCAGACAGTATGAGTTGTTATCTTTGGTTGGGGATCCAGTGGTTGCAATTGCAACAGTCTTTTATTGCTTTTTAGGAATCATCGCAAAACTCCCTGCTGATGACAAAGCTCACCCAACAATTCTTTGTCTAGGTTTGATAGCCGACGGCCAACTCGAATCCAATTTAGATGATTCACATGGGCTGGAAAGCTGAACCTGTACATTCCTGTGACCTTCAACTGACCAGTGGCCTTGGCCTGTTTTTTCTCAGGCAGCTGATGATCATCGATCTTCCAGATGGCTTTGAGCATAGCATTGTGCAGACCCAGGCCGGCCTGGATCACAGTGGCCGATACGTTGTTTCCATCAATGTGATGCAAAAGCCCAAGATGAAGAGATGATAAGCATCCCAAGCCGGGTGGTGAATGTATCGATCGCATGGTCAAATCGATCACATTCTTTGCTACTGGTTGGGTGTATTTTGCTGGTTCGAGTGTGAGGAAACCCACATACAGACACACCAGCGACATGAAATGTGGTATGGAACACCTGTGAACTCTGCCTAGACCTGTTATGATCGAAGCCGAAGGTTCCATTGCCAAAGCTTCCATGGCGGACTGGCCTATTTGCCTAAGTTGGGGTTCACTCCATGTGGTCCGTGCAGCATATTCTGACGCAAGGAACTGATTGACCATCTTAGATGGAAAAACATATGGACCGAGGCATCCACTGGCCCCCTCTAATCGGGCCACTGGATGCCTCGGAAGTTCTGGGATTCTGGTGATTTAAATGTCGCCTCTTCATTGCATGTCATTACGGAAAAAAACGGGCCTGGAGATGTTTGATCATCTAGGTAGATGCGTTTGGTTCTTCTTTTAAGTCACCACTCAACATGCTAATATATATGTTGATCCATTTTGGACTGGCCCAGGCCAGGAGCTCCCGGTGACCCTTCAGCTCAACCGCATACGTTGATTTCGGGGTCAGCCACAAGCAGAGGTGCAGAAGCAGATGATGTTCATCAGGCACTCTGGGGGCGTTCGGTCAGTCACCCTCTTCTTGTTCGTCAGTGGAGAGCCGGAGTGTTGCAAGGTGATCACTTGGGAAGTGCTGCGACCCTGGAGTACTGCTGGTCTTCATCGACTCGCAAATCAAAGTAGCCTCAAATGGGCTGGATCTTGGCAAGATCCGAAAGAAAGACACAAAACTTGAATTCTCCTCTACTATCCAAAGATGAGCTGGGGTTGGTTATGGTGAAAAGAACTAACTTCTGGAGCTATGAACCTCCTTTTTCTGGCGGCCAAGCCAGCAAAGACGGAGACCCAAGTTCGGACTTTCTGATGCATTTGGTCGGGACTTCTGGGACTTCCTTCAACATGTGCCAGCGATTCACTGTATCCAACAGTTGGACTTAATGTTACTGTTGCTCTTCACGCTACTAGTAACAAGGACATTTGTAGCTAGAAGCTAGAATTACTAGTCAGTTCATCTCGATGGTTCACCCTCTCATCGTCACTCGCATCTGCCCGACTCGTCTCGGATTTCATCACTCCTAGGGAACAGCAGCAAGTCTCGACAAAGATTCGAGCAGAAACCTCTGTGATCAAGGCGCGGGGCCCCGCGACGACTTCCTGGTTTTGCTTAAGGTGATGTGTTGTGTTTAAACAAAGACCAATGGAATCCCCTTCTGGAGAATATGGTTGTTGTTTTTTCCGGGTTCCTTAAGCAAGTCCCGTTTCCGGGATTCCAACCACCACTGATTCTATGGGCTTTGGTGTTATACTGAATAACCACGGTTATACAAATGAGTTTAGACTACAAAAACCAGCTCAAAACTATTAAATTGTTTAACTTGTCTTGGATGGCTAGGGCAGTGTTTGATGATGTTTGATGTGTTCATGGCTTGGTCAGGTTATTTATTTGAAGGAAGCAGCTCCAAACATACACTGTGTATAAATGCAAATCAAACAGCGAGTAGATCTCTACACAGGGTGATATACATGTCAACTGTGGTTGTGTACATGTCACCGGCTGTTTGCTGGGTTAGTGGGTTTCAATCGAACCGAACCAGTGATTTCTGTGGGTGATTTGTGAGGTTCGAACTGCTTCGCTGCTTCGTTGTCCACCTGTATGGCTTTCTTCCTAACCAGCAGGACTCATCCAGAAAGACGTGGTCGTCATGGTCGTTCGGCAGGATTCAAAGTCAAGGACTCCACTGGCTGTCGCAAGTTGCGGCGCCTACCTTACGTTGGGCAGCTTTTGATCTCCAAGACTCTGCTTGGCTTGAGCACCCAAACATGACTTGCAGATCGAGCCAGAAGTCGTCACGTTGGGCCCAGCCATGCCCACATGTCGTTCGTTAGACCCCCACGGCCCAACCGATCACGACGGGGAACCGGTTGGGGCCCACGGCCTGACTCCACCGGTCCATTCCAGGCCGAGTACGACCGTCGAGTCAAGGCCAGATCGGAGAGAGCGATGTTGACGTGGATCCATTATATTATATATTATATATATGGGTGTCCTTAGAATAGGGAGACCTTCCAGTTCGACCTCTTGGAAGGTTCGGACAATAAACCACTCTACTATCCAGGAAGAATCACCCCACCAAAGATTTCTTCCCCCGACCCTGTAGTTTGGTCATGGGAGAGAAAACTCCTGCTTGGTAGAGGAAGTGTTCGTCTTACAATGCCTCTGTAACTTGGTGAAATATTAGTGGTTCTTCCTTTATTGAGATCCTAAGATCCTAGGTCCTGAATAACATGTTCTATCCTGTACAATTGGATGGAAGTCTTGACCCTTATGCAGATGCACATGTAATGTATGTCAATTCCAGCCATTCCCCAACCCAAGATCATGTTGTTTGTGATCTCATATGATCTGGACCACCCCCTGGGATGCACAATGGCTGCAGCCATTTAACCAAGATCTACCTTACCACAGAGCCATGGCAGGAAGACAGTACATGCGGCCGTTTTGCGGTCAATCATCTTCAATCAAAATCCTCGCGCAAAGCAGCGCCTAATTTGCAGCCGCACCTTGTGCCAAACAGATGCCTTCAGATGCCATAGCAAAAACATGCAAAAGGACAACGCTTTGGGAGGGTGATGGACGTCTAAGCGCCGTTTGTTCGGTAGAGTGCCACAGAAGGTTCATCTCGGGCGCTTAGATTAGGAGACCAACATGTATTTCAAGATCCAGACCCTTTGAGAACTGAAGAAGAAGTGCTAAGGATTTAACTCACATACATGATATTGGGCCTTACCAGTATAGCATCAACTGCTACATATGCTGCTTGACCATGAACATATTCTTCTTGTCCATGTCTCCAAGCGAAGCGGCAAAATACCACGCGAATATCCACGTGGTGAAGATGATTGTCGCCTGGAGTGCATGGCCGCTCTACAAACAGGGGCTTTCTTCTGTCATGGAACACGGGAACATGGGTTAGGTTTTGTCCTGTTCGGTGGTTGATATGTATTGAGCGAGTAGGAGGGAGATCCCTGTATTTTCCTGTAGGCTGTATGATAGGAAAACCATCAACCATACCAAGCTTTTGCCAGGAGTTGTGAGGTGTGCAGTAGGTCCGGAGTAAACGCAAGTCCCCCAGCATTTGCTTTACATATATTCCCATCCAGCATGGTTTGCGGTACAGCAGGGGTTTGTGACATGTACTCAGGACAGTGACTCGAAATGAGAAGGTTCCCTTGAACTTGCTTGGAGGTTTGTAGGTGGTGTGAATGATGAACAACAGAAGTTGCGGAGATGAACTGCCACCATACAGGACTTGGGCACTTAGATAGTTCCAACAGAAATATGGTGAACAGAAGTGTGTTGACACACATTGAAGCTAGTGTTGAAACTCTATGTTAGAGTAAACACTTATGACTCTATATATAGATCGATCATCTACTGTAATTATATTGGCGATCCCACTTCGTGGTCGATACCTCATTTCAGAGCCTGAGTCACACTGAAACCACCAAAGACGAAGCCGAACTCGGACGAGTTCGGAGTTCTCGGTACGAGGGCCATGTAGTGCCGTCACATGCGAAGAACCCTCCAGCCCTCCCGCAATCGAAAAACCGGGGGATTCCCTTGCAATAAACAAAACAGAGTGGACCGTTTGGTACATGAAGCTGACGTTTGTATCAGATCTCCCATTAGACACCCACGAACGATACTCCTGGAAATCAACCACTTCGACCTGTTTTGGTTGGAACAAGAGTGAAAACGAGTGCAACGAGCAATTACTTAGACAGCTTCACGGTTTTTGTAAAAAAGGATGCGTGTCCTTCCGGAGGTCGAATCGCCAGAAGGGCCGCCTGAAAGGCACCCCCCGGCCGGCCAACAGCGAGGTTGAGACTGCCCAACTATTGTGCAATGTGCATCATCGTGCTCGAGAGGCCTCCAGCTGCGATCCGCCCTACTTCACCCCGAGGCCTTCAACGGACACAAGCTGCTTATGACCCTACTAGTATGATGACAAATCGTCCTTCCTCATAGGAACAGTGGTCCCGGTCCTGTTTTTGCAGTGGATTCACCAGACCTTGAAGTATTTGGAAATAGATACAACCAAAACAGGGACATGTTGGGTGTGATGCAGGGAGACGAAGAGAACACGAAGACCAACAGTCGAGGAGGTTTGGGGCTGGAAGAGACGTAGACACATCCCATATGTATCAGCATGTCCAACAATAATCAACAATCATGCCCCCCCAATTAGCAAAACAAAGGCGTGCCATGTTTTATGTTGATAAGCAGGAGGGAGTCCATTTCCATGACCGCTGCAGAGGGAAAATGGTACAGCCTGAAAAGCAGCAGCTCCTAACATGTTTTCGATTTAACTGCTTATGCTGGTCAGTTTCTATTTGCGCTCGGTAATTACTAGACACTACTCAGGACTCAACTAATGTCGGAGTCAATTCTAACATTGCTAACAACATGTCTTCAGTTCTATCAATCGACCGAGACTGTCTCGGCAGGCAAATTCCCTACAAGGAGTCTCGGGCTGGGCATCGAAAACTGGGATCCATGTGCCGTGGCTCAATCGATGTGTTTGTTCCAATGCTGAAGCAGTTTTTTGTCATCCTGTGTTTTTTGTTTGGGTATGGATCTCCTTGCGAGAATAGACCAAGTGTGATCTATGTATGTTCATTCGGATAGGGCCTTTTCAGCTATAGGCGTTTCCAACTCTTGCGGTTCAAACCCCACCTACCTCGTCGCGCACTCCGCCAAGACCCAGGATTTGGGTCGCAGAGTCTTTGGGCAACTACCGCTGGGCGCTTCGCTTGGGCCTCGCCCTGTGCCGGGAGTACCGCCTGGGCCGCGGGCGTAGCAAGAAGAAGCCCCAGGCAACACACGCCTCTGAGGAGGTGCTGAGGTGGTTGAAGGTGCATGGGGGAGGGAGATGGGTACCTGGAGGGACCATGAATAGGGATGATCCGGATCATCAAATCCAACAAGCAACTGTGAGACCTCGAAGTATAAGATCAATTAGGCAAGGGATTTGGGATTCCGGATGCAGATCCACAAGTTGTGCGAAGTGACCACTTGCGTGTGATGCCCCATATGTATGACGGGGGTTGGCAGTTGCTTAGTTGCATGTGGGAATTCAGGATGCCAGTGCAGGGTGCACGAATGATGGGACGTTGCTCATCAATGTTCCAGACTGCAGGCATTTGCTACCCTGAATGAAGCGGTTCCATGGGAAAGCCACCCAAGTAGCTCGTACACGTCTGGTAACACCAGCATCACATGCCCTCGGACACGTCTGGTAAGTTGCATCGGAATATGTGCCCGCGAATGGGGTTGGTGGCCGGCCTCTCCCTCCCTCTCTCTCTCTCACTCTCACGGGGCATGTGATGTGGTCCAAGACTTTTGTGTTTTCACATTCACTGGGTAATTGATGGACACATTAAAGACATTGAATTGATGGATCAAACAATGACAGCTCTTGAGGGTGTTTTGGAGACCCTCACCACCTCCCACACCGAAAGCACCCCACATCCACGGTCACGGTCACGCACTCGCCGCAGCAGAGGAGCACGAGCCCAACTTCCGCAGAACACGGCGGACGAAGGTGGCCCAGCATCATCTAGCAATGCCAGAGGAGTTCAAGTTGGCCAAGAGCGCTGTGGAGGCCAGGGCTGTGTCTTTTGTTCAAGAAGAATGATGATGATGATGGCTTTCGTAGCTTACGCGGTGATGAAGCGTATGAAGCAACACAAGGAGCAGCGAGTTTCTAACCTGTGAGCTTCTGCGGCTTTGATCTTGGGGGTTTCTTGTAAGTGGGGATTGGTGATAGGTTGCTGTTTGGTTTGTGTACTTTAAGCTCACCCCAGGGTGATGTGCAGTTCGGGTTTAGGGTTTCGAGTACCCCTTGGGATCCTTTGGACATGGGTGCTGAAGCCTTGTTGCACAGGCTTATCGAGACTACTACTTCTCGAAGCGCAAGACGATGAACATGGAGTGGCCAGAAGGACAAGTGCCCAAGTGGTGGTCGGAGCGCCAGCGAAGATATCAGGCTAGCAGAAAGAGGAAAGGATCCTTGGCTTTGCTGGATGAATGGAGACGTGGACCGCTTTTTCTCGTAACATCAACGAGACGGCAGCACCCCGAGTGGAATCGAGGAGGCTAGAGGGTTTTGGGCCTTGGGGTGTCTCAAAGAATAAGGACTTGGCGATCAGAGAGAACCTCCGTTTGGGGAGTCAAGCTCACAAGAATGGGTAATGATGGGCATGATTTCAATTTCAATGCAGGCAAACCACAGGGGCTTACATCAACCTGTTCAACCTAAAGGCCGCCCGCCTCGTTTCTTTTTTACTTTTTCGGGTTTCCTGGTGGACCGACACATATGCCAACTGATCGGCAGTCCCATGGAGTGTTTGGGGTTGGATGCCACGAGCGCCTTTCTTTTCCCAAGGAGCTCACTGAGACGTTGGTAAATTTGCTTGGCTCAATTCCCTTTCTTTGGAGCAGCTTTGGGTCGGAGAAGCATCCTCAGATCTGAGAAAGAAGATCGATGATCGCGCATCCTGTGTTGAAGCCGTCAGCTTGGAAGATCAAAGGCAACCTCTCGCGGTCTTTGAGATCAAGTTCTTGGGTGACACTGCCAGACCGCCAGACCACCAACCTACTCCCTACAACTCTGTGGAAAGAACGCCCCTTGTGGAGCTGGGTCGTCATGCCACAGGTCGTTTGCCCAGCCACCGGAAAACCATGTTTTTTTGCGGGATTGGTTTCACCACTGAAAGCCAACAGGTGGAAAGAGGCTCACCGCTACTGTCCAGGAAAACTGAAGTAGGAGTCGGACTCGGCGATCTTTGCCTCCGGAACATGCTGCGTGAACCTGCGTTTGTGCGCTTCGCACCCAACTTGCAACGAGAAAAAAAACAGTTCGCCCTTGCTGTGGAGTAGTTCTTCAGAAGAAGAACATCAACTAGAGAGGTGAATCTCAGCCTAGGGTGAAATGAAGAGGCGAATCTCAGCCTCGCAGCCTCTTGAGTTCAACCCAAGAATGTCGAGGCACTTAACCAATGCCTATTGGAAGCAATATCCACTCACGTAGGGTCAAACCACTCCTTTGGAACTGCTGCAGGATGAGTTCAAGCTGAACGCACTTTTTCTTCGGTACATCCCATGAGACACTGCATTTTATGGGGGCACTGCATTTTAAAGCTGGTCGCTTGCGCCATTGCAAGCCGTCGAAGTCGCAGGTCTTGATGGCTGATGGCCATGCCAACTACACCGTGGTCACAAAGGCAGGAACCACAGAACACCGTGGGGGGGGGGGTCCAGCATGGATCTTCACTGGTTTGAAATCCGGGCTGGCAGTAGTAAATCGCATGGAGTAAACTCTTTGGTGCAGGCAGTATGAAATCGCATGGCTGCCTACATGCCCTTCGTTCCTACACACGGTCCAATGAGTTTCAAAGATTCTGTCAGGGTTCTGTGTTCTCCTCAACTGTTTATTCCAACAAGGGTTGGTTTCCCTTGCAAAAAGTCCGCATTGCTGGTGTGCCAGATGCAAATGATTAGAAACTGGAGACTCCTGGTTGAGCATTTTTGTTTAAAGAAACTTGCGATTCTTGCCTAGAATACCAAGTGGTGGTTTAAATGGATGCTCACCCAGAAATGTGTTCCAAGAGTTGTAGCAAATGTTTTTTGGTTTTCCGCACACAATATTTCCATCTTCGACCAGACAGACTGAGCTTTCAAAAGACTAACTAATGACCAAGAGGGAATACAACCAAGCAACTGATAGTTGAAGCAGCACTTTCGGTCGAGTTGTTTTAATTGTTGTATTGATCCCTATCACTACACCACTTTCCAATGTGTCAGACAGGAGCTCCCATGGGGTTCCAGTGCTTTGAGGGCTTTTTCGGAATCCATGTGCGACCTGGAATAAGCCGAAACCAGTGCCGAAACTGACCCCTTTTCTCATTGAGTGACCTAAATTGGAAGTGTCAGACGTGAGACCTCTGAAGCTTCCTCCATGGGAAAACCAGAGGTGTCCGCCTTTACTTGCTTTTGCTGGGCACTGGGTCACTCTTGATGGGTGAATGGAAAAAAAAGAACACTGGGGATAACCCACGGCCTTTCCATCCCGAACACCAGAACCCCCGCTCCGTCTCCAGGAGGCCTCCGCCACCGCGGAGCGCCGGAAGATCGACGTGGAGTCTGAGGCGCGGTCAGAGGTCGAAGGTCGAAGATCGCGAGGGAGTCGGCCGCTGAGCTCAGCTTGAGGTCCTGGCCACGTCGTTTTGCTTGGGAAGAGGTTTGGAGCAAAGTGTTTGAGATCATGTTATAACTCCAATAACTCACAGCTGATGCAGGAGATGGTCCAATCCTCCAAGGTGGGTTTCATAGACACTTCCTGCTGAGGACAGTCCTAATGTTTGAGTTTCGCCTTGGTCAAGCAGAGACGACCGAGTCGGGGTCAGTATTGTCAAGAGGAGGGTCGTGTCCTAACGGAAGGGGACTTCAACACACAAGATCCGGGAAAACGTCAGACAAACCCACAGTGGCTTGCTGGGTATTTCTGGGAGGCCTTGACGATTATCAAGAACAGCTTGCATTTGAGCCCTCAAGGCGCGCTTCGAAAATGCACGTTTCGTGGGGCCTTGGACTTGGTCGACTTGGAGGTGTTTCTGCGGGGTTATTGGTTTTAATCTTCATCTATTCTGTCCAAGCAATACACTAGTTCCAGGAAACATTGCCATGGGAAGGGGTGACATGGTAGAAGATTCATTGCCAGCCTGTCAGATGCAGTCATTTCAAAAGCTATATAATATGGACTTATGACTCATGACATTATGACTTGCCTTCTGAGCGGACGAAATGACTGTTGTCGTCCATTTGATGCTGGCTTACGCTGGATGTTATCAAACTGTCTCCCATTGGTGTTTGTTCATTCTTCGATATTCTTCATAGTTATAACAGAGTCAAAAGGCTCCAACCCTGAAGGCGAAACAAGCACCCAAGTTAACTGGTGGTTCATATATCTTCTCACCTGATCAACAAGGTGAAACAGTCCCTCACCATCCTGGTCCCAGTCGTCCGCAACCCAGCTTACACATCCGCACGCCACCCTGTGCGCCGTCCAGGCCTGGTGCTCTATCAGCAGTATGGTGCCTTAGATGATTTGGAAGAGGCCTGGAAACCGGAACTGGTCAGATTCGATCTCTTGGGGTTAGGATGGGACTGACAAGACAAGACGTGAGATGCTGAAGTACGAGAGAGACATGAGAGAAGAACATGGGAGAAATGAGAGTCTCTGGCAGATCGAAGCTAGTGAGATTGTTGTCGCTTCTCACAAACTTGGAGGATGCTCATGATGCTCCTTTAGTTGTTCCTCCACTCATTTGGCTCGTTTGCATTTGTTCATACATGGTAGTGGGGCAAGTGCTGGAAGATCTCGATCTCCTTCACACGTGCGTTCTCACACAAGAAAGCACGCCTTGAACCAGAAAGATCAGAAATCATGCGACAAATTGCGCCAATTCTTCAGAACCTCTTTGCAATAATTGCTGCACCATTTCCAACTATACGGAGTACGGAGCCTCATTCAATCAGTCAGACAGAGAGGAGCGGGTGTTGAATCTCATCCATTTCGTTGATCGATCGAACCCTCTTCGGGCAAGATGGCAAAGCTTGGCAAAGCTACTAATGTTGTACACGTAATGTCCAAAGTGCTAGGGATTGGCGCGCCTCACCCCAGTGCTAGGGATTTGCTGCTGCTGCTGCTTTGATTGTCCGTTTTTCTCTTAGTTCCTCACTTCTTGTTTGACGTAGAAAGCAGCGATCGTTTGAATGACTCCTCCAAGAAAGAGCCCAGTCAAACCCAGTACCAGGATGCATCTGGTTTCGCTGACCAGCAAGTTGGAGATTCTGCCATTGGATCAGACCTGGCTGTAAGATCACCAGTTTCAGGGGTTTGGGAGATGTGGCGAGCTCCCTTGTTTTGTTGTTTCTTCCACCTTAAACTTAAACCAACACACTGACACCTTGTCACAACCGACAGCTTGGGCCTCAGAGCCGCTTTCGGAGGCCTCCTTGATGTATGGCTTTGGAGCTCAGCAAACCTTGCTGAAACCCAACTGAGATGGCTCAGGGCAGCCACTTTTGGGCAAACGGTCCACCTTTGGTGTTTGGAAGGGAAACAGGCTTACAAGGTGAGACATGTTTCACCAGGTTTCCATCACAGCCATCCTTTGGTAGATGCAATGTTGGAGGTGTAAAAGCAGACTTGGAACATCTTGAGCACTGCCATGATCTGCCATGATCGTCCCATATTTGTTGCAGCAACATCATGCAGAATCATTAATTGCGGATCGAGGTTTTCATCGAAACCGATTCATGAAACTTCATGAAGTCCCTGGTGTTGCTTAAAGCGGTGATTGGTGTACTTTCCCCATTGGTTTACTTTCCCTTCTGGTGAATACGTTTGTATATTTTTCTTGGTTCCTTAAGCAAGTCCCAAAATCCAAGCAGCCAACGGCGCTCATCCTATTTGGCGCAAATGTCGTAATTAGGGGTCTCTATACGACCGGAAGTGAGTCGAGAGACAGTTCGACCAAAGAAGAACGACAGTTCAACCAAGGGAAAGACATGACATGGGTAGATGATCCCTGTTGGTATTTCCTCTAGAACATTGGACGGGTTTGTGGTCCCCTAGAAGTAGGTAGAGAGGAATTCTGTTTGTCTGAACGACACCGACGGTCGAGATGGTGAAGAGTCGAGTCAATCAACTTGTATCGTCGTGCTGGGGGATCTCATGTTGCATCCCAACACCGGCCGCCTTAGCCAGTCCGGTGCCAAAGTGCGCCGACCGGACCGTCGATGTGGGAACCGGTGCGTTGACCGGACCTGCGTGTTCGTCAAAAGTGGGCCTGCGCAATGGCTGGTTGGTGAGGAGATAAGGATAAGGGTCGATAGGCTCATACTCCCCACTTCATGGGAATCAGAGAGCTATAGGATTTTCGTGGATATTATATGATATTATCTATGAATATATAGATACTAATTACCAGTTTGTGAGATTTTGATTGTACTTTCTATATCAAACTCTCCCATCTATAAATGGCCTTTTCTGCTGTCAAGGTAGAATAGGGATCGAACTATATAGTTGTCAATCTGTTGTGATGAGGTTCTGATGCAGTCTCATGATGTCTCATGGACATGTTATGTTGTCACGAACGTTCTGAAAATTGGAATGGTTTGGCCTGATTGTTTGCTGTACTTGTACCTTCTGGCCAGGACAATTCATGTACTGCATTTGCCAACAACATGGGTTACAACATGGAACTTTCAAACAGCTCCTTTCGACAATCTCACAACAAAGTAGTTCAGAACCAATAGTTCAGAAGCAATTCAGACGGAGGCAACAGATATAGATCTGGTAGAGGAAAACTTTACATGAGCACGTTGAGCAGAGTCAGTGTGTCTGTGTTGGTCACATCGATAGCAAGCGAAGACTGATAGTGAGAGAGTGTCTCAATCCAGGTACATGCTTCGGGGAAGGCGGATGTGTTTCCCTCCCGAAAGAATAGGCTCAAGCAATATGTTCAATTTACAGTTTGTTTTGAGAAACCGCGACATTCAGACCAGACAAAAGTCTCAAAGAGAATACCCTTTGACTCACGAACATGGAAGTGGAAACTGACCCCTGGGAAGACAATTTTCCTCTACAGACAGGGTGTTTTCTACTTCTATCTTAGTGAGTCGGAGTATAAGGAATCATTTGGAAAGGCCACCCCAAAGCTAAGCAGCCACTTTGCTGTATGCACTCACCAAACCTACAGCTTGGTTGGTTTTGGTGTCCAAAAACGTGCATATATATATATCGCATATATATATACTGTATAAATATGAGTGTATATCATTCCTTCTGAAATCATCCTAATACAACCCTGAGGACTTTGGCTCTAGTCTCAACCTTCTTGGATCCCCCCACAACCGCCACTTGGGATTTGAGCTGAGAGTCTAGATGATTATTGAAACGCAACGAGAACCTGTTCATCGGTCCATGCGAGTCTGAGGTCATTTTGAAGAATAGTTGGGACATCGGATCAAAGTTTGTCAAATGAGTGGCCCAAAGGAAGGTGGGACTCCATCGATCATTCCAGAACAGTATATCCAAACATCATTAACACAAGTTCTCTATCTGTTTTCGGTATGAACTGAGGTCCAATCATGATGAACTGCACTGATATACAATTATTTAGACCTATGAGTCTATGAATGTTGCAAAAATGGTGGACCTCAGACAAGTTCCATACAAGTTCCCTATGATTGGGGTATATATAAGGTGATTGAAACTTGTAGTGTGGGGCAATCATCGCGGTCATCACTTCTTTGGTATGTAGCGACCGAAGGGTCACTAGCGGATCACAAGTGTGGAGAGCTTGCCATCACGCACGAGGTCGTTTCTTGACAGAGTCACCCCCATCCTATTGGAACAATGGTTTAACATGTTTGGCACTTGTGTACAAAAAGGCTTTGCTTCTGCTCATTTCTTCATCATCGATCCATGCTGCTCCGTCTAGGGCCTTCAGGGCAGACCAGAGGGCAGGTCGGTTGTTTTTTTTGGGGAACACCGGATGGTCTCACCGCATCTCACCTGCGAGGCCTGTTGTCGGAACAGCTGGACGTGCTGACGGCATCGTGGGTCCGAAGACCAGCTGAAACGGGTGAGGGCGGAAGACGTACTGGTTGAAGCAAGGCTCAGGTGTCGTTGGTGTTTTTGATGCAAAAAACAAAGGCCTTGAGAATCTCTGAAGGCCCACAGGTCTTCTGTCTTTTGCTTTCTACCATTTGGACGGACCTTTCAGCTAGCCAGCCTTCCACGCTGGCAACCCGACCTGGTGAAGACTCACTTCTGGAATTCCCAGTGCAGACACTTGGTTGTCCTTATACAGTAGGAAGGAACACTGAGTGACTCCTCAATGAAACTTAAAAAGACATGATCTTTGTAAAGGAACTCAGGAACACTTCTCGTAGTCTTGCAGTGACTGAACTCTGTCTGCAGATGGTGCAGTTTAGTACAACTCCTCGGCATCAACCAGCCCCCCAAAAAGGAAGCGACATAATCCCCGACACGAGGCAACAAACAGGCACAGCTTAATGGAAGTGACGGGTGCCCATGATCCAACACACCCCTTTGTGACCCCCCGTTAAGCAAAGTTACACCGTGAAGATCCGTCAACCAAGATCCGTGAACCTCCTCAGTCTTCCTCGATCGGACACGATGGACGAGAAGAGTTTGCCATGTGTAGCCACACATCCATCAAAACCTGGGGTCCTTCGGTTTGGACATGTTTGGCGTTGCAGGGGTTTGAAGATGTTTGAAGGGTTGATTCATAACAGATATGCTGAATACACCCTGAATACCATCAATCGACAGATATGATCAACATTTCCAGTGCCTAGGTGTGACAATAAAATGCAGTCTTTGTCTAACTCTTTGTTCTGTACTGACAGCTGACAACGGTTCTCACCTGCATTTACAATTGCTGTGAAATCCAAGGACTCCAGTCATTGCTCCCACCCTTCCAGAAGCCTCCCTTCCTTCTCGGCTTCTCAAAGCACATCTGGCTGTTCTCCATATTGGTTTGAATAAATGCTGGCTTTTTCCAAGCCCATGTGGCAGTGGAAAAGCCTCGGGGCAAGGCTGATAGAACAATTGGGAGATATTTTTCCAGGGTATCAATGTATCAAGTCAATATGTATCAATCACTATAGTGACCCCAAAAAACAACTATGTAACAGTAAAAGTCTCAATTGATGTCTACCTGGGGACCGCTACAAATGGTGGTGGGTCTCCGAGTGCCCTCTCTCAGGCCGCAGTGCCCAGGGCAGTGAAGGCGCAGATGTTTGACGTGAAGAGTACGCCCACGTGTTGGCGTTTGGTCTGGCAAACTGCCACGATGATGTCGTAGATGGCAAACTAGCCACGACACTTCTAAATAGACATGAACACTTCTTCCTGCTCTGAAAATCTCACCTGTCCTTCTTTGCGAATGGGCAGCCAAGCTCTCCAGGTCTCAAAAAACGGAAGTTTCCAGCCTGCTTCGGGTTGTTTGTTGTTTTCCCGCCGAATCCCCTTCTGGGGAAGGTTTCTGTCTTTTCGGTTCCTACAGCTAATCCAAGCTAGCCAACGAGTGGGTAAAAAGTAAGAGCCGCCCCGGGAAGAAAGAAGGGCCGCCCCGGTCATTTTCCCGGTGGTTCCGCCAGGAGCAGCAACCAGAGCAGCTCCGAAAGCTCTTCCGGCATGCCGCTCGGAGAAAGCGGAAGCGGATGAGAGGAGAAAACCAACCTTTGGATTTTCCTCGCATCTCGCCCCGAAGGAAAAAACGATTCAACATCGTGGTGTCTTTGTCCGACTATTGACTCAGATTGATTCTGGTGGGGACAGTGGTGGGGACTTGGAAGATGTCTATTTTCAACTAATATTACACTCTGTGACTGTGTAATTAAATACGTCTGGACCTTCACTCCATGGAACTTACATGGAAGTGGAAGATTGCATTTGGGAAGACAATGTTCCTCTACAAACAGGTTTTTTATTTGTTTTCTGAAGTTTTTCTACTTTGATATTACTGGAGTGTTGTTTTTTTTAGATTGTTTAACTATAATCTAGTTACCAGTTACTTGTTGTTTTCTTTGTTGGCGGCAGTGCCTGGCAACTTGATCCATTTTGGAGGAGGTCCGAGGTTTCAATTCATAAATTCCAACTATGCTGTCGAGAGTGCAAGGTTTCAACACCCGCTTTGCTCTAGCCTAGAGGTAGTTAGTCACTAGGATGGCTCTAGCCTTTCGAACTGCCACTTGATCACAATAGTAGGAGCCATTTAAGTCCGTTAAACTAGATATAATACAAGTCAAGTTCATTGGAACATGTCCGAAGCCAAATTGACGTCGCTTTGTTTTCTCTTTTTTATCATCCATTTGCAGCATCCATCCAAATCTGAGAAGCAACCTAAAGGTTCGTTCATCAGGGCCAAGCCCTCTACCTCTTGCAGTGTCCTACCAGTCGTCCTGGATCCAAGCTAAACCAACCACAAGTTCCTTGCCCATGAAACCACAGGTCCAGCGGACCCACG